CATTTGTGTCTATCACATGGCTGCCAACAGCCTGAAATGACAGAAGGGCTCCAGCAAGCTCTCTGGGGAGCTCTGCCATATGTTGCTACACCACCTTCATACCACTTGCTTTAAGTAGAGATGAGGAGGTTTCAGTTTCAAGGAGGAACATGGCTTATTTCTCCATGCAGGGAGCAGCAGCCACCACCCTGAACATGAGGCTGTTGTACCCAAACCCAACTTTTTAGTCCTGAGCCACAGGGATGCCTGATCTCCACCCTCCGTTGTTGGTGGTGAGGTAATGAGTTCGTATTGGCTCTTGCACAAAAGGAGATTTCATTCACTTGGTTTTAATTCTCAGTCCTTCTCACTCTCCTTGAGCATACATTCTATGAATGGCTAAGCACAAAAATCCAATTAACCTTTCCCTGTCCCATTAATTATCCTGGGCTCCTCTCTCATATTTCTCTCCATTACCTCCAATTAAGCAGATTACACTCTTCTTACAGCTGGATTTTTTTTTCCCCTCATATTGTTGTTCTTACTATCGCACTTTTGTAACCTTCCCTCCTTTTGCCAGAGACGTTTCTCAAGATGGAGCAATAAGAAACCACAAAGCAACATTCCAGGTTCAATTAATCCATGGGTCTATCTTTTTTAGTATTGTTTTTCCTCCTCATACCTTATACTTCTCACCTAAGATGCAGTTTGCTGAGTCTGTCAGTGTGAGAGGTGCTCAAAAACTACAGTATAAAAACCTCAAAAACACAACCCAGGGAGTTGCTTTTGGTTTGCTGGTTTTGCCTGCTGCTAGAGCAGAAGCGGGGATTTGCATTTTCTAGCTGAGCTTCTCCTCTGCATTCCCTCCTAAATGCTAGTTCCTCTAGAAGACTTTAAGGCCAGCAGGGTGCATCATGCTGCACATGGAAATTGCAGGAGTCATAGTTTGATCAGAACCACCTCACAGTCTTCCCTCTAACTGCCCTGGAGCCACTGTTTTTTAAAAACTGGAGCCACTCTCTTGGTTTCAACATGGTATAAACTGCTGTACCTGGGATGAAAAGCCAAATTTACATCCAAAGTGAGATCTTTGGAGAGGTATTTGTCTCACTGATACACATTTTTCACTCTGTTTTGCTTTAAAAAGCTGCCATTTACACAGACATAGGCGGAGAAGGCGGAGAGAGAGATTTCAACCCATCTCTGGAGCATTGCTGAGGAGGTGCATTCCCCAGCCTACATGAATCACAAGCCTTTACTCTGTGCAAACAAGCCCTCAATGGGGAGGAGGAAGCCACAGTGTGGCATAGCTGAATCCATGATATTCCCACCAATCCTTCCAGTAGTCTTGTCACCTCGCAGCTCTTCTCAAACAGGATCACAGCACACCACAGCACTCCAGCTTTGTTTATTAAACAATTTTCAGAAGAGCTTTACCAGGTCCTGCGCCTTCAGCACTGTGATCTGTACTGGTGTTGGTTGTGACTCACTGGGAACAGATACAGTGGACTCTTTTCTGGAAGACAGCCCCTTCGAGACCTCCATAGCTCTGCAGGAAAAAGAATGGGGAAAAGAAATATGAAACTGCTCAATTCCTCTCCCAGAAGCATGTGCAGGGCTCAGCAGCCATGGTTGTTGGCATTATTCTAGGCTTGGCTGTCAAAAAGCCACTGAAAGCACGGGGCTTTGTCAGTGAGGAAGCTCTCACGAGGAGCATAGGGAGGACATGTAATGCCAAAATTATGCCGCTCAAGTAAAAGGAACCCAGCTGCAGCTCCCAGCTCCTCCTGCATATGGGGAGGGCTTGGTGTGACTGCTGCTTTCAGCCAAGCTCACCCTAGTGCAGCTTTAACCTGCCAGAGGGGAGATTGAGATGAGCTCTTAGGCAGCAGCTCTTCCCTGTGAGGGTGCTGAGGCGCTGGCACAGGGTCCCCAGAGAAGCTGTGGCTGCCCCATCCCTGGCAGTGTTCAAGGCCAGGCTGGACGGGGCTTGGAGCAACCTGGTCTGGTGGAAGGTGTCCCTGCCCGTGGCAGGGGGTTGGAACTGGATGAGCTTTAAGGTCCTTTCAACCCAAACCTGTCTGGGATTCTGTGATTCTCGTTTGACTGACAGTGGAGCCTGTGGGGACAAAGGCCTCAGCTCCTGACTGGCCCCACGGGGCTCCCGCAGCCCCAGGCCCTGGCTCCATCCCGCCCATGGGCCTGTCTGCAGCGCTTCCACCCCTCTGGAGACACGGCTGGGCCGAGGGCACTCCTGTGACCCCAGCACTCCACAGCACCCCACAGCCTCGCGCCCCCCCGTTCCAGCCACCCCAGATAGATGAGAGGTACCAGCCTCCACCCCGGCGCTGCCAACCGCCTCAGCGCACCGTCCTGCCGCCACCAACAGCGTCAGGGCGCTCACGGCTGGGATCGCGGCCCCTGCCGCACCTCCCCTCCCCGCACCGGCCCGGGGCGCGACACCTGGCAGCGGCGGGGCGCGAGCCACGGCGTACCTGCCTCAACGGGAGGGCCCCGCGTCCACCGGTAACCACGGCGACGCCACTGCTCCCGTGAAGTCTCGCGAGATCTCAGCACTGCACCACATGTTTATGGGGCTCGGCCGTGAAGCCGTTGCCGCCGCCGTGGTGGAGGTGGGCAGGCTGCGGAGGTGCTGCGGGGTAACGGAGTCACAGAGTGGTTCGGTTTGGTTGAAGGGACCTTAAACTCATCCAGTCCTATTCCCCCGCCGCGGGCAGGGACCGTGTGAACTTATGTGTGAGATGTACAGTCAAGTACGAAGTGAGTGTGAAGTTCTGATCCGTAGTTGTGTTCTCCTGCAGCTGAAACAGCCAGAAACGGACAAAGCAAAAAGGAAAATACGTATTACCCTGAGACTGAGGCGTGTTTGTTTCATCCTGGGAATGAATGTGAGACAGACTGTGTTCTAAGTTATACCCAGTGTAACGAAAAGGTTTTGGGTAAAAGTCAAATGGGGTTTTTCCTGCACAGGGTGCAGAATTTGGTCTGAACAGTATAGGTTGTGGGAGTAATTAAAGTATGGGGTGGTGGAGAAAACAAAGTAAAATATCAGCAAGGTGGGGATTCAGCAAGGCGAGTAAAAATGGGAAACCAGGAAAGTTAAAATACAAGGCTTAAAAGTCCCCTGGGATGCGTCTTAAAACACTGGGAGGAAACTGGGGATCTCCCAGGAGGAATCACAAGCAAAAAGACCTTGATGAAATATTGTAACCAGTGGTGGCCGTTGTATAAATTGGGAGGGGGAGAAAAGTGGCCAGAAAACAGATCCTTAAACTATGATACAATCTTAGAGTTGATGCCCTTCTTACGAAGGGAAGGAAAGTGGGATGAAGTCTTTTATGCAGATGTGGTTTTCACCCTCTGGGAACATCCGGAGTGGCAGAAAGAGTGGGATAAACACAGCACCCAAGGACCCATTTGTATTAACTCTAGAAAGAGAATAAAAAGCATGGAGTAGGGAAATGGAAGTGGTGTTGCTCATCATGCCCTATAGGCCAGAGGTGCTTGAAATATAAACGGGGGGGGGGGGAGGGAGGGAAGAAGGGCCTGAAGAAACATTAGAAGATTTTGCTAGCCCCAGGGAAAAAGCATCAACTCCTCCACCTTCTCCGGAGCATAGAGTGGTGAAAGGAGAGGGGAAGGAGATAAAACTGCCATCTCTTTTCACCACTGAGCGGGAGGACATGAACCAAGCTGCAGGCTCGATCTGCCTCACCCAGAGTAAAAGATAAGGGCGTGATATAAGGCATGATATAAGCCCCCCTTAGGGAAGCTGCAGGACCTGAGGGACCCATGAGACTACAGGTTAATTTCTCTATGGGAGACTTAGTTGAAAATCGATTGCAAAGACCTATAGAGATGATCCCGCAGGAGCAGCAAAAATATTCAAAACCTTCACTAAAGCCCTAGACCCGGATTACGACGATATTGATTTAATGTTAGATGCAATCACAGGCACTGAAAAGGAACTAGTACTTAAAGCTGCCAGAAACCATGTTCAGGCAGTAATCGCTGCAGAAACGTTGCAGAGAAATGCAGACGATTATGTCCCTGCAGCTAAACCACAATGGGATTATAATAACCCCAACCATTATCAACTTCTCAAAAGGTATGAAACATGGATTGCATTTGGATTGGAGCACGCAATTCCTAAGTCTGTGAATTGGGGAGCTTTATGTGCTGTCAAACAAAACACAGGTGAAACTCCTACAGAATTTTTGGACAGATTATGGGAGCAATGCAAAAATATACTACCACGGACCCCTCCGGAGACCAGGGAAAGCAGCAGCTGATATCTCTCTAGGACAATCCTCAAATGATATTAGAAAGAAACTACAAAAACTTAGAGCAGAGGACCAGGGAGATATCAAAAAGCTGATTGAGGAAACATGGAAGGTGTACCACAACCGAGACAGTAAGGAAAGGCAAAAATTAAGTTTAACAATTACTCATGCAACCATTGCAGCCTTAGGGAAAAGAAACTGTCAGGGAAATGGAAAAACTCAAGGTGCATGGAAAGATTGCTTTCGGGATAGTAGAACGAGGGCCCCTAATAATAGGGTAGGGCCTAATCACTTCTCTGCCCAACCTGTAGCTGTGTGTCGGATAGCACCAATCCAGGTGTAGGACTTGCACCATGTTCCCCCCCGACGCCTGCTGTGCCCCAGCCCCACTCCTCCCCCCCAGCCCTGCTTGGCGCACACCATGGTGCCCACCCAGCTCACGCTGCACCAAAGTGCCCAAGGGGAGGGGCCTCATGGCGGGGGATTGGCAGGTCCCATGGGAGCCCTGGGGACAGATCGCAGAGGTTGTGCAGCCACCCCCTGGGTGCAGTGTGGGAGCAGCTCCGGGGCAGACCCGGTGGCGTTGGGGCGGGTGCCAGACCCCCGGCTCGGGTTGGCCGGTTCCCGGGGAGGGGATGCCCAGAATAGCTGCGCTACCCGATCCCGGAGGGGCCGAGGAGCTCTCTTGCTCGCTATCTCCTCGGGGCTGACATTTGAGCGCAGCGGGATGGCGGGCGGCCGGCGGCGCGGGGGCAGCGGGAGGCGCGGGGCCCCACGGCAGCACCCGGGGACCCTCGCACCGGCCCCTGCACCCGCACCCCCGTCTGCCACAGCCACCACCGTGACCCAGAGAAACGCAGGCGCTGCCCCCAAACCCGACCGCACCAAGAATCCTGCGAAGGAGCCGGAGGCGAGGGCACCCGACGTGGACTCGCTGGGCTTCCAAGCCATGGACCGCAATGTGCCAGGGCTGTCCCACGTCATCCTCCAGAAGCTCAACATGAAGAGCTATGAGGACTACAAGTGAGTGAGCACCCATGGGTGCGTGTTTTCTCCCCACGGACAGAGCATCCTGTGTGTGTCCCCGCAGCTGGAACATCTCCCCTGGCTCATCCCACCCTCCTGGCTCAGCCTGTATGTGGGTGCTCTCATGGGCCTCCTGGGTCTCCCCTCCATCTGCCCATTCCCGGTTCTCCATCCTGGGACAGGATGCTCCTGGCTGGAGCTAAAAGTCCTGGTAACCTTAGAGAGAGGACATTGGCCTCACTGTGATGGCAGAGCAGCTTGTGCTGGATCCTTCTCACTCCCTCTACATGTGCAGGTCTGCCATGGATGGGAGGAAAAGCGGCAGTGATTTTGGCATCCGGACTTACTTTGAGATGTTCCAGAAGATGGAGGACACCTTCAAGTTCTGTGCTGAGTGCAGGAAGCTCCCCAGTGCTCTCCCGGACCCCAAAAGTCTCCGGCGATGCAAGAGGTATGGCAAGGGGATGTGGTTTGATGGCATGGGGATGAATCCGTCCCCTTGCTTCCAAGCAGGGTGAAGCCAGGGGTGTGTTGTCCCAACACCCACCTCCAGCTACAGGGCATCCCCCAAACCACAGTGACACAGCTCTGGGAGGGGTGTCAGGGAGCCTTGGTTTGGCAGGCAGAATCCTTTCCCCTGCCATGTCCGGGCATGCTGCCTGTGTCCCCAGGTGCCAGAACGTGTACTACTGTGGCGTGGCGTGCCAGCGTGCCAACTGGCCGCTGCACAAGAAGTTCTGCAAGAAGCTGAAGCTGGTAGCCCTGGATCGGCTGGTGGAGTGGCTTGTCTTCACAGGTGGGGCAGGGGACACTGTGTGTACCCCTCCAGGCCTGCCTGACCCCCACACCATGCTGCACAAATCCTGTGGAGGGATGGGGGAGTCCCTCCTCCTGGCTTGTGGATCTGGTGGGACAGGCAGCCTGGGCTGTGGGGCCACCATTGTGACCCCCAGTGCTTCTCTCTGTCCTCCCCAGGAGACATCCCCTTTCCCACAGAGACCTGGACAAAGTCCCCCTGGGATGTGGAGGGCTGGGAGGACTGGTTCTCCATGCAGGAGCAGCTGGAAGAGAAGCTGGGCGCCATCCTGGCAGGGCGGTACATGACCCTGCTGTGGGCCAATGCTGGGAAGCCTCGGCCAGAGGACAGGGAGCTGCATGAATCCATCCGACGCCTGGTCACCGACTTCCACTCGCGGCCGCTCACCATCGGTCTGGGGCTGCGGCTCTTCAGCCTCGAGCCCCTTGCCAAGGCCCTCACTGTGCATGTGGTAGGAGCATCCCACGTGGAGACCCTCAACGCCCGGCTGACAGACTACGACGAGCTGACACGCATGTTCCCGGGGCATCGCGGCATGGAGGTGGTGATGGTGGGGGTGGATGTGGTCAATGGACCAATCATGAGGCCACCCCTGGCCACTCCGGCGCCCCGGGGAAGCGTCTATCTCAGCAGCTACAAGGGGCTCTACCATGACTTTTGGGAAAGCCATGTGGAGACCAAGCTGGCCGCTCGCCCTGACCTGGTGGTGGGCTTTCACCCAGGTGAGTTCCTGTACCTCCTGTAGGAAAACAGGCTGAGAAAGTTGGGGCTGTTCAGCCTAGAGAAGAGAAGGCTGCGTGGAGACCTCATAGCAGCCTTCTAGTATCTGAAGGGGGCTAAAAGGATGCTGAGGAGGAACTCTTCATCAAGGACTGTAGTGATAGAACAAGGGGTAATGGGTTAAAACTTAACCAGGGAAAGTTCAGGTTAGATATAAGGAAGAAGTTCTTTACTGTGAGGGTGGTGAGGCACTGGAACAGGTTGCAAAAAGAAGTGGTAAATGCTCCACCCCTGGCAGCGTTTGGGGCCAGATTGGACAAAGCCTTGGGCGACATGGTCTAGGGTGAGGCGACCTTCCCCATGGCAGGGGGTTGGAACTAGGTGATCTTAAGATGATCCTATGCAAACCATCTGTGATTCTATGATTCTGTGGAGGGGACTGGACCCTCATCACCACACTGCTAGCAGCAGGATGGCCCCAGAAGGGTGCAGGTCCCTCAGCACCCCAGCAGCACCTGCTAGTGGCTTGGGACATATCCAGGGCTTTGCAAGCTACAACAGGCAACCATGCAGCCAGGATGATGCCCTGGGCTTGGCTGTCTTGTCCCCCTCGCAGGGTGCTCAGTGTCCTGCCTGTACTACCCACCTGCCACATAGGCAGCTCCCAAAAGGGTCCCTGCCTGTGGCTGTCAGTGTGGTAGCTCACCCCAGGCACCCAGAGCCATTCTGCTGAGATGGTACCCACCTTGCTAAGGGTGACAAATTATTGCCAGTGTCACCGTGCACACCGCCATGAACGGGTGCTGTTAGATCTGGTGTCAGGGTGGCACAGGAAGAGGTGGGACCCTCACCACTGTCCCCACAGGTTTCCATGCTTGCCCAGACCTGCTGGCAGGCTGGCTGCCTACCCTGCTGCTGCTGCGGGACTACCGCTTGCCCGTCCTCTTCACCGTGTACAGGTGAGCACAGCCCCACTACCCTGGTGTGCTGGCACCACCACCAGCACACCATAGCAGGGCCTGGCCTTTACTCCTCTGGCAGTGAGCAGGAGCTGAAGTCCTCCCTGCAGCTCCTGGTGGAGCTCGAGATGCACATTATGGGCTATGCCACCAACCCCTTTGCCTCGCTGCGGCCCGAGCAGGTCTACTCCAGCCCCAACAAGGCGCCAGTCTACTGCAGCTCCTACTATATCGCCCTGCTGGGGCCGGTGGCATTGGCTGTGCCGGGTGCTGAAGACCTGGAGAATGGTGATGGTGGGTGGGGAGAGGAGTCCAGTGCTGCTGTTGGGGCTGGGGGCATCACTCCAGGGCTGGCCTGACCCAGTGCAGCCAGCACCATCCTGCCCACTGGATCCCCAGCCCCTTGCTGCCCCATCACAGCACCCTATCATCTCCCCATCCCGGAACTGGCGATCCAGTCATTCCTCACTGCACACATCCAATCCTGGGACACACAGCACCTTGTCACAGGCATGGCACCCCTCCATGGCATCGAATAAACCTCCACCAGTAGACAGCTGGCGTGTCTCGAGCTTTATTTCCAAAAAGGCCTGTGTTTTCCCAAAGAAAACCGAGAGCTGAGCCCTCCTCGGGCAACCATGGCCTCTGGAGGGATGGCAAAGGGGACCCCACTGCTGGACCTGCTGTGCCTGGGGGTCCTGCGGGGAGCCCCCACCAGCACCCAGTGGTTCTTGTCACTGTCACACACGCTGTGCCCCTGCGCCGGTGCCTACCCTGCAGCATGGAGCTCCAGCATCACTCACTGGGTACATGTGCACCGGCTGCCACCGCGGTGCCACCCAGCAGCCTCGGCAGCCTCTGCAGTAACTGGGGCGGGTGGCGCTGAGTGAACCGGCTCCTGCCTGATGGGGCTGGGGACCGCTCCCGGTGCAGGCAACGGCGCTGGATGGTGGCAGTGACCTGCACTGGGCACCCGCGATGGCTCCGGGTGGTCGCACCCTCCCCAGGGCTCCCTGCGCCCCGGCGGCGGGCTCCTTCCCGTGGCTGCGGTGGGCAGCGTGGCCGGCACAGTCCCGCCCGGCTCGGCACCGCCGGCATCACTCGGCGCCGGTACGTTCCCGCAGCGCGGGCAGCGTCAGTGTCTCCGGCGCCGACTTCTTGCGCGGGAGAGTTTTGGGGGGGGCGAGGAAGTCGGGGGAGTCGTCGCTGAGCGGGGTGGAGGGGGCGCTGGCGGGTGCCGAGTGCGTGGCCGTCGGCTGCCCCACTTCGCTGACAGCGATGGTGGGGGCCACCAGCCCGACGAGCTCGTTGGTGGCCTCCTGCGTCTCCCGCTCGTAGCGCCTCACCTCCTCCATCGTCATCCCTGCGAGCACAGCCGGGCTTGGAGCCGCTCGGCACGGACAAACCTGCGCTCCGCACCGCGGGGCGGCCTGTGCCCCATGCGCCGGCTCCTCACCGAGCTGGGTGCTGGGAAGGGGACAGGGGGACTTGCAAGGCAGGGGACGCTGCCCCCACCTCCGGCACCAGCCCAGGCAGCAGTGGGGAAATGACGGGCAGGCAGCGCGGGCAAGTGGATGCGCAGGCAGAGCAGAGGGGGACCCTTGCCTCAGGGTGCAGGGGGGGCTCAGCGTGCACCATGCACAAGCCCTCCTGCCTGCACCCGCCCGCAGACAGTGTGGTGGGGTCCGGGGTCCCCGTGCCCTGCAGGCAGCATGTGGGAGGGGTTTAGGGATGCTGGCTCCCCAGCTTTTGGTTTGTGGCCACTTGCATCTGACTCTCGAAGTCCCGGACCTCTTCCAGGGACATGTCTGGAAGGCAGAGAGCCGCTCGCCGGGATGGCACCGCTGGCAAAACCAGGGGCTCCCATCCCCGTGTACATGTGTGATAGCATGTGCTGCTGCCAGACCAGGGTGCAGGCAATGCAGCCAGGGGTACTTGGGCTCTGCTCCCCATCCCTCACATCAGCCAAGCCTCCTCAGTCGTGCAGCAAGAATGGGCAGTGTGTTGGGGTGCAGGCAGAGGTGAGGGCAGGGAGCAGAGCAGCGCAGGCAGCAGGATGCAGGGAGATGAAGTAAGAGTGGGAGCTGCCCATGGGGTTAGTGGCATTACGGTTAAACTCGCAGCCCCCTCAAACCCTGGGCGTCTGGGGCCACCCCAGGCCCATGTCCCCTGCCACTGGCAGCACCAGGGGGACTCACCACACCACTCGTCCACCCATGCGAACGCCTGCCGGTGACCAATCAGCAGGATGTCCCGGATCACCTGTGACGCACCATGGAGGTCAGCACCTCGTCACTGTTCCCCCAGTGTCTCCCCCCGGCCTGGAGCACCCCCTCACCTTGTGCACGAACTGCTCCACCCGTGTCTGCAGCCCCCAGACCTCGAACTTGACGCTCACCAGCTTGTAGGAGCACATGATGGGTTTGGTGTGCTGGCGCCAGCCCTCCCGCAGCGGCCCCCGGCCCGTCTTGGCTGAGCTGAAGAAACGGGGGTCCTGGGAGAGCACAGCAGGGCTGTGAGCCCCCCAGCCTGCGACAGGGGACAAGGGGGTCACCCTTGGGAGCTCCACGATACCTCCAGGCTGCGGTAGTACCGCTCAGGGATCTCGTCAAAGGCAATGTCCAGGAAGGAGACCTCGTGGTCGCCCAGGATTTTGTCACTGTGGAAGATCTGGGAAGGGAAGGAAGGGTGAGAGGTGCTGGTGCAGCGCCGCGTGTCCTCTCTGGTGAGGAGTTTGCCAGGTCTCAGCTGTTGCGCAGACTCACGTTCTCACTGTCCCCGCAGTTGTCCTCGTACTTGGTCTCGATGTAGATGGAGAACTTGGGCAGGAAGGAACACTGCAGGGACCGGCCGTCAGCTGGACCCCCAGCCAGGAGGACACACTCCCAGGGATGCCCACCCCGAACAACACCCATCGTGAGGGACACCCAGCCCCAAGCATGCATACCCCAAGGGATGCCCAGCTCCAAGGGATGCCCAGTCCCAAGGGACACCTAGCCCCAAGGACACCAGTCACAAGGAACACCTACCCCAAGGAAACTCAGCCCCAGGGGATGCCCAGTCCCAAGGGACACCCACCCTGAGGGATGCCCCAACCCAAGGGACACCTAGTTCAAGGGATGCCCACCCAAGGGACACCTAACCCAAGGGTACTCACCCCAAGGGAGACCCACCTCGAGGGACACCCCACCCTTGAAACTGCTGACCCCAGGAAGACCCATCCCTGGGGGATACTTCCCCCAGTGCCCCATTCCCCAGCCAGGGCAGATGCTGGGAAAAGAGCCAGGTCCCCCCATGCCATCTCCTTACTGTGTACTCTGCAGGGACACCGTGGCACATCAGCAGCATCAAGGGGTGGCACCATGGGGGAGAGAGGGAGAGGTGAGGCTGGGCAGTGGCTATAGCCGGGTTCTCCTGTCACCCAAAGGCCACTGATGGAGAGGGGCAGAGTGCCTGGGGGGTGCCCGTCCCCTCTCCCTCCCCCGGCTCACCAGTGATGGTGTAGGGGTAGTAGTTCCAGGCCTTCTCTGTGATGTAGAAGATGCGGGGGGTTACTGCCCGTGCCCAGCTTGGCAGTTTGCTGCAGGAACCACAGCATATGGGGGTCCATTCAGGGTAGGATGTGGCCACAGCACCACCCAGTGCCACCCAGCCCTGCTTCCCCAGACACAGCCCTGCACGTGGGACTGCCCTCACCTCCACCCCAGGATCCCTCCAGGACCATCACCTACACCCCATCACCCCAAGGAAGCCTGGCACCTCCCCAGCACCCTCATCTGCACCCCCATGCCCCTATTCTCTTCCCAGGACCCCCATCTCCTCCCCAGGCACCCTTACCCCCTCTCCGTGCCCAGGGCCAGGACCCCTGTGTGCTGCTGCCCCCCCCCCCCCCGGTAGGATCGGGTCCCGGGGAGCTGGGCGGTGGTTTGATTCATCTGCAGGCGTTATAAATACCATCCCCAGGAGGGGAATCGTGAGCACCGCTGCTAAAAATAGCCCGAGTCACGGCAGCGCTGCTGGTGCCGCGCCGCGGTGTGCCGCAGCGGTGGGGGGGACACCGGCTGCCAGCGGGCACCCAGGGGACACCGGGACAACCCCGGGGTGAGCTGAGCACCAGCCGGAGCATCCCCACTGAGCCCTGCACTGCAGCCGAGGCACCGCGCTGGAGATGGGTGCTCACTGCGAGAGAGGGTGTGTGTCTGGGAGATGGGCACACCCTAGGAGGTGAGTGTGGACCCCAGACAGGGGGGCACCCCAGAAAATGGGTGCACCCTGGAGGGTAGCCCGCAAGATGGGTCCACCCTGGGTGATGGGTTCACTCTGAGTGATGGGTGTAGCCCCCGAAGATAGCAGAGTGCATGCCTGGGAGATGGGTGCACCCCAGGAGGTGGGTGCAGCCCCCCAGGATATGTGCACTCCAGGAAATGGGCATACCCTGAGAGACAGGTGAAGCCCCCAAAGTTGGGTGCAGGCCCCAAATATGGGTGTACTCCAGGACATAGGTGCACCCCTGGGAGACAGGTGCAGCCCCATTGCAGGGTGCCAAGCATCCAGAATGGATATTCCTGGGAACTGTGGAGGAGAGAGGGATAGGGCCTCACCTGGAGAGGTGGACGCGCTTCTCAGTGAACTGGCCGTGGCCGTGGATGGGGTCCTCGTGGGGCTCGTTCTTCACCACCTCGACGCCCTCGCCCTTCTCACTCTCCTGGTGGCTGTGCTTGCTGATGGTGTAGAGCTGCCCCACGCGGTACTGCAACCACAGCACCCAACTCAGTGCCACCCCTCCCCTGCACCTTCCGGAGACACCGCCGAGCAGGGAAACTGAGGCACGGAGCAAAGGGTGACAGATGAAGTGCTGTGCAGCAGGCAGGGGTCTCCTAGGGCACCCTTCTCCAGCATCCCTGCCCAATGGCTGCTCCAGTGCCTAGGTGAAGCTGGGTTGCAACTACCCAGCTCCTCCGCACTGTTCAGGTGCCTTGCAGAATGCTTAAAGGCTTTGTGCTCAGCAAGCTACCTGGCATCCAGGGAAAACTACACCTAGGTATGGATATGGATATGTATGCATGTGTATTTGAGGATGCGGCTGTGTAATGAGTGCTTTATTGTTCCACTGAAGAGTCCATCCATTACCAGCCCCTCCCTACCCCATTGAAAACCTCCCTGTAGTGTGACCACAACCCCATGCGTGGGGAGAGCTGGTGCTGCCCAATGTATGCACCATGGCTGTGGATCCCAAAACAGCCCCATCAGTGCTCAGGAGCATCCTTTGTCCAGGAATGCTGCTGACTGCCAGCTATTGACTTGCTGCTGGGAATTCGAGCTCCCTGCTGGAGCAGTGATTGAGACGGGGCTCCCCATCGGAGCACCTGAATCCCGGTGCCCTTTGCCCACCGGTTCTTCCCGTGGTCCTGGGCCTGGGTTGCCCCAAGCAGACCCCTGGTGCTGCTGTTGGGCTCCATGTCCCAAGGTCACTGTGGCCAGGGATGGGATGTCCTTGCTCTGCACCCCAAAACAAGGCTCAGCACATGCACAGAGCATCCCAAGCCCAGCAGCCATGGCTGAAGCTCACCCTCGTGGCTCAGGCAAGGTCCCTGCCACAAGCCATGCCATGAAGAGATGGGAAACGGGCCACCGTATCCCCCAGCCCCTTTCCAAGTAGTCAACCCACTGCTGTGGGTAACCCCACCCACAGCTCTCTCCATCGGTGGATCCTGGGCACCCAGGGGCTTGGAGACCCCCTGCCACTGCACCCCCCTTCCCAACCGACACCCCCTTTCCCCCCATCCCTCCTCACCTCCTCGGTGGTGAGCGGCATGCAGATGCGGTACTCCTTGATGAGCATGGTGACAGGGTCACAGTGTCAGGCGGAGGTTGGGGTGCTGGCGGGGGCACAGCTCATTCTGGGGGGCCCGAGGGTGGGTGGTGAGCACGAGGCAGCTTCCCCACGCTCCCATCCCATCACCCCATGCTAGAGGATACCGGCAACTTCATGAGCCGTTGCCATGGCAGTGGTGTGAGGTCACCAGTACGAGGATGAGTCTGGGTGTACCCGGCTGGGGACACCCCGAAACCCCCCGGCGTTAACCTCTTCCCTGCTGGGCAAACACACACTCCCTTCCCTTCCCTATACATCTGTCTTGGAGCACCCGTATCCCCCACAAGATACGGTGCCATGCCTTCGGGGTGCCACATCCACACCCAACCAGTGGCCAGCAGGGATGCCGGGATGGGATCCAACATGCTGATGCCCATGGGGACCCACCCTGGGGGCACCCACCTGGTCCGGGGCTCCCGGGAAGCACCCGTGCTCATGTCTCTGGTGTGGGAGGTCCCTTCCCGAGGAAGGCGCTCCCCAGCCCCCCCACGGCTGCCCCCCAGCACCCATCACACCCAGTATTTCCAGGCTGCCCTGCTCACCCCCTTGGCCCCCCCTCCAGGGATACATCCCAGGGATGCTTAGGGTAGATAATGGAGCAGCTCTGGGGGCTCCTAGCTGTGATCTCCAGCTCCATGGGGCAGGGAGGGGACATGAGCACCCCGGGGCATCACCCTGCGCGGGGCATCAGGCTTTGGAGGGGGCACATGGGGTCTCACACAGGGTCTTGTCTGAGGGCACCTTGTCCGGCTGGGGACACAGGAGCATCCCTGGGGAACACAGGGGCGTCCCTGGAGGACACGGGGAGGCACTGGGGCATCCGCGTGGGACGCGGGAGCACCCTGCTGACCAGGACGAGGGCTGAGGGCTAGAGCCGGGCTGCGCGTGCCGTCCCGCCACCGGAGCATCTCAGACCGGCGCGGCAGGGGCTGTGGCTGCCCGGGGCGGGCGTACGGACATACCGCCGGGGGGCTCCGGCTGCGCTGGGCGATGCCCGGGACCGGCAGTATCGGCACCGCTTTCCCCAGCCCGCCGCTCCCTCCCCACCGCCCGCCTCCGGCTCGGCATCTCCGCGCATCCCTCCCGGGACGGGAGCTCCCGCCGCCCCCCTCTCCGCCCGCACTTACCCAGGCCCGCGGCAGTGCCCACTCCCCGCTGCCGCCTCCTCCGTGCCCCGGCCGTCCCGGGCCGTGCGCAGGAGCGGGCCGCCCCCCGCACCGCCCCGCGCACCGCCCCCCGCACCGCGGCACACTGACCCCTAGGGGCAGGAATGCACCGGCACCCCACCGGCATTGAATCGGCGCTGAACCGGCACGGCACTGCACTGGCATTGAACCAGCGTTACACCGGCACTGCACTGATGCCGCACAGGCTCTGGCACCTCACTGGCATTGCACTTGCACCGGGAACAGCACCACACCTGCACCAGCACCACACTACAAGGGCACCACCAGCGGGAGGCTCTCTGACACGGCACGGCACAGCACCAGGGATCCGTGGCACAGCCCAGACCGGCGCCGCGGCTCCCTGCACCCACCGGGGCATGGCTGCTCCCGGGGTCCCTCGGCAGTCACTGTGTGCCCCGGCAGGGAGATGCTCCGGGGTCCCCAGCCGGGTGTAGGGAGCTGGGACTCTCCAAACCTCCCCCTGAGGTGCAGTCCCCTACACCCCACTGCAAGCTAAGGACCAGCACCATCGTGCCCCATATGCCAGCACTGCCAGCCAGAGCCAAACAGTCCCATCCGGTGAGAGCAACGGCCCAGCCACACCGCTCGGTGTGAGCATGGCACCGCGGCACACTCCAGCCTGGCTGCCTGCTGCAGGGGAGCAGCCCCTGCCATGCCAGGGTGCTGCAGTCACCCGGCGATGGCTGTTGTGGGGACACCCACCAGGCCACCCTGCAGCTGCTGCTACTACAGTGGCTCTGGCATGGGACACGGAGGTCGTACTGCCCAGGCACCATGGCACTCATGAGTGCCCTGTGGTGCCAAAGGTTCAGCCTGGGCTCTTTCACCACCGTGGGGCAGCTGGTCTGTGCCATCTCATGGTGTTGGTGACGCTGCTCCATAGCACTCAGCAGCCCTGAGGTGGTGGGGATGGGCACCCAGCTGCAGTAGAACCAGAGCAAGCAGCGGCAGAGCTGGGGACAGTGGCCCCAAAACCCTCTGGGGTGCCCCATGGGCACATATCCCACATCCGGGAGTGCCGTGCTAGGAGCAATGCCTGCGGGCACACCTTACGTGCCTGCACCCAACGCTATCTGCCTTCACCATGCTGCTGCCTTCTTCCTGGTTTCCCACCCTGCGGTGCCACCGTGCTTCCAACCCCAGCTCTGATGGCACTGAGTGACAGCCATCCCTTCCCCATGTCCCCCCAGGAAGTCCCCAAAGGGTAATGCAGGAGACACAGGTCTCCCACCTGTGGAGCCCACAGGAGCCCACCTCTACAGCCAGGACCAACTCCAGCAGGGCTCCTGCTGGGTGACAGTGGTGGTGACCAGGACCTGGTGGTTCTAGTGACAAGGGCTTGGCAGGCTCTCAGTCCCCCCAGCAGCCACATTCCTCTGGAACCCGTTCCGCAGGGTCCTGTGCAGGTGCCAAGGGAAAGGCATCTGGGTTAGGTTTTTCCTGGTCATGCCCTGCTTTCCTCTGGCTCCAAGTCAACAAAGAGCTAAAAAGAGGATTTGCTGGCAACCCCCAGTGTCCCCTCAGTGCCATCAGTACCCCTGAGTGCCCCATGCTGCTGGGGAGAATCCTGCGGAAAACCAGGAAGGGTGAAGAAAGAGGAAGCAGAAGCAAGTGAAAAACGACCCAATTTAATCCCAAAGCCCCCAGCTCCAGGGTCCTGGGAGCACCCTGGTGCATCTCCCCAGCTCCAGGCAGCCTGGGGGTCCCCAAGCTGAGCACACCCCCTGGAGCACCCATGGCTCTCCACTCTGGCATGGGGAGATGGAGCTTTCCGAGGTGTCCGGCCTCTTCCTCAGCTCCACTGGCACCCAGGTGCATCCCACCACCCTCACCCCAGCATGGCCACCTGCAGCCCTTATGGAGGTGCCCTGATGAAGACCATCTTGGTGGAGTAGACCAGGTCCACCAGGTAGGCGATGAGGTTGAAGATGGTGAGGAAGGTGACCCCCAGGTGCTTGTTCCACCAGCAGTTCCTGCCGCAGCTCTGGGGGCGGCTCCTCCCTCTGAAGCTGTAGAGGGGCCAGAGGATGGTGGCGGTGATGTACATCATCAGGGCCAGGGCGTTGTACACCACCAGCATCTTCTCCAGCGGGCAGGGGATGTAGGTGAGGCACCGGCCTATGGTGAAGATGATGATGAGGAGGGTGACGATGAAGCAGATGGAGTAGACAGCCACGCACCACTGCAGGCCGGCTTCCGAACTAAAGCTATCCAGCAGGGAGAAGATGAGACAAGCCACGTAGGCTTCAAAAACCTTGAGGAGCCCAGGCACGGTGGAGAGGAAGCTGCTGATGTCCCCTGGCTTGGCACGGGTGAGCCCCACCTCGATGGCATAGGCGAGGAAGCAGAGGCAGGACACGGTGGTGGCCACGGCCTGCCGGGCACACTTGCTGCCGCTGCAGGGACTGATGATGAAGGTAGAGGGGAAGATCACGGAGGTGGTGAAGACCATCAATGTCGCCAGCATGGAGAAAGCCGAGGTGAAGTCATCCCAGGAGAGCGGCAGCTTGGGGTAGAGCTCCAGCAGCTCCAGCAGCACCACCAGCAGTGTCACAGCGAAGCAGAAGCACCAAGTGAACATGCACCATGTCCCATAGGGACCCCCAAGGTCCCTGGTGGAGGCCACCAAGCTGAAGGCGATGCAGGACAACACGATGGCAAAGAGCCGGGCAATGCCCACCCAGGAGGTGACAGCGCGGACATTCACCGTGGCTACCGCCATGGTCCCAGCCAGTTCTCCCAGCCACACCGCGTGCTGGGAAGTGGGTGCTGATGGCGTCTGCTCTTATTGGGGTGCAGGATGGAGGGTGTAGTGCGGGGCAGCGAGCCACTGGCCCCCGGAGCTGCCTGTGCTGCAGAGCCCGACTCTGCTGCCACCTCCACCAGCTCCAGCTCCACACCACGCGCGCTCACCAGTGTGGCTGCTGGCTGCAGCGCAGGCGGGTGGATCATTAACGTGGGGCCGGGCGAAGGGTGTTGGTGCTCACAGTGACTCCGAGCCCTGCGGTGGGGCCGAGGCAGGGGGGGACAGGGAGCCACTGGGTGCTACCGTCCTGACACTGCACCCACAGCGGAAGCCACAAAGGAGCCTTATATGTACCTCCAGATTACTGGGGGGACCCCCGACACCCCCATCCCTACACTGTGGGGTCCGCCTGAGGGGCTGGGGTGGCTGCACCCTGTGGTGGTGCCCTAGCAGGGGGTGTCCCAGCAGGCAGCAGCTGGGTGTAGCCCCCCACACCTTTGTGGGTGCCACCTTCACACCGCTCCTGGCACCTCCACACCCGTCCGGAACCTCCGCCACCGATAAGTGGCTCAAAGTCCGGCCATGGCAGCTGCCGTCACTGGGCAGGGCAGGTGGGGTGAACGCAGGGAGGGGACCTGCTACCCAGCCACCCATGGCACCACCACAGCACTGCCACTGCCCTGGGGTGCCTGGCTGGTGCTGGCACCCCACACCCCAGCAGCACATTTGAGGGGTGTCTGTCTCTTGCCCCATGGTCCCAGTGGCCAGAGTAGCACAGGAGAGTGGTGGCACATCAGAGGTGGGGAGTCCAGCAGAAGGATGATGATGGTGAAGGCTGAGAGCTGCGGGCTGAGCTTTACCATTATGCAGGGTCCAACAGGGTCTGTGTTTGGGGACAAGGGACCCGGCCCAGGGCAGGCTGGCACTGCTGGGGGGCTCCTTACCCCAGGCAAGGCGCAGGGGTGGCTCCGGGGGGATACGTGGTGGCTCAGAGGTCACTGCCAGCCTCGCCCTTGCCAGCCAGCCCATTGAGGGGGCCCAGCACCGGGCGTTTGCTCTCGTTCAGCCGCCGCACGCGGTAGCTCTCGTAATGCACGTTGTGGGTGATGTCCTTCAGGTCCTGCAGGTGGGACCTGCCAGAGTGGCGGCGGGGAGGGAGAGCGTCAGGTCACAGCCCTATTGCCCCACTGTCCCCTCCATGGGGTGCAGCACCCCCAACCCCATCCCCTGCTCACCGGATCAGCAGGTCCCGCAGGAGGGGGAACTCGCAGTGTGTCGGGTTCTCCACTGCAAAGCAAGGCAGAGGGGCAGCAGGTGGAGGGATCCCAGGATGCACATCCTACAGGCTCTGGGTACCATCAGAGCACTGGCACAGCACCATGCCGCACCCCTAGGCAGGGATGCACCCATAGGTGCTGCTCCTTACACCCTGAGCAGACAACCCCCCCTATGGCTGGGGATGCGAGGAGCTCCACTCACCTTCAATGATGCCCCACTTGGTCTTGCGGCCCAGCACCCGCTTGCCGTTGACCTGGTGCTCCTGGTCTGCTCCCACCACAGCAAAGGGGATATTCTCCTGCCAGTGCAGAGCACGGTGCTGTGCTCAGCCCTGCTGTGGTCCCCAGGGGTTGGCATCCTCAGTCCCAGCATCCCAGCACTCACCCGAATCCTGTCGTTCAGCACCCTGTCATCCGGGTCCTGGTCAAAGTCCTCCTGCGGGTACACGCTGATTGCATGGGTCTTCAGGTCCTCCTGGATCTGCGGGATACAGGGCTTGAGATGGGGCTGAGGGGCACATGGGGCACCCTAGGAGCCCAGTGGGGTCCTGTCCTCACCTGCTGCTTGAACTCTGCTCGCTCCTCCAGTGTGAGTGTGTCGGCTTTGGCGATCACCGGCACCACGTTGACAATC